CAACAACAACAACAACAACAACAACAACAACAACAACAACAACAACAGAAACTGTCCAGATGACCTGAATGAGCATTGTTGGATTTGTTTACCTGGATTACTGAGCATGATCCTTCATTAATAATGGTAAGAAAGTACATTTCTGAATGCAACATGAAACCTTTACAGTATATGACATAAAGTCTCTGTCTGCAGGCTGAAAAATTAAGGAACAAGAGACCTTTGGACTCATAAGATAGAAGACACGAGCCACTTCCTTAACGTTACAGTGGAAAAGCATCTTGGTTTAAGACTTATGTGTCAAACTCAAGGCCCAGGGGCCAAATGTGGCCCTCGTTTACATCTTATCTGCCCCCCCCCAAGATGCTATTTTAAATGTAAAATACTTTTATCACTTTAATTTTTTTCAGTAATCTTTGATTATGATGTCAAAAGTGCAACAGAGAACATCAAATGAGACCAATCAAATTCTTGCTGAGGAACCTGTGACCAAAAAAAGATGTTGGATATCCAAATTGAGTTAATGTTGATTCTGAAACTGGCCCTTAGTTTGAAAAAAGTTTTAATTTTGGCCTCCTTTTGTAAAAGAGTTTGACACCCCTGGTTTAAGAGGAGAAAGCAATGGCAGATCAGAAGGAGACATGGAGGTGGGGAGTGTTGACAGGAGGGCGTGTGACCAGGACGGTCATCAACTCATTGTATCCAGCAGGTAGTGGATGTGACACAGAGTTGAGTCACTCTTACATAAGATTCATCAGAACTGGTACTGTTTTGTGATACACAATTACCGGGATTACTAAAAACAGTTTTACCCGTTTGTCTGTGCATGATTCATCTCATCTTGAATGAGGACATGTTAAAGTATTTCATCACGTCTATCGTCTTCAGCTAATTTGTCTGTTTGTCAAGCCACAAAATAAAATAGAAAAAGTATTAAGCATGAGTATCCAACTATTTCAATGGGGTTTTACACATGGCATTCTTCTATTTAACAGCTACTTATACATTTATTGTACAGCTGGAATCTTTGGGAGGAAACTTTAATTGGTTTGTTGTAAATAAACACATTTGGCGGCTCATGCATACTTGTAAACAATGATCAGCTCTCAGCTTAATCAACATATCGCAGCTAAAAGATGAAAAAGTTGAGAGTTTGCGGTATTTTAGTTTGCACAGACATCTGATATGCATATCCACAGAGTGAAACCCGTATAATTAGGACTGGATATGATTAAAGAAGCAGTTCTGTCGCTTCAAAAATTAGTTAAAAGTCATTGACTTCACATTAATCTGCCTTAATAAGGCAATTACATCAGACGTTAAAACAGATTAGTCCTGTTTATTAGCTTGATAAGTGTGATACCGTACTATAGCTCAAAACAAGTCTCTAACTTTGCTTCAAGAAACCAAACAGACCATAAAGATGATACATTATTTTAACTCTTCCATACATATTTTAACCATTTTCGTGCTTGTGCTCTAAATATGCCAATGCGTCTTGTTTTAATTGCCTCATGTTGTTTTCAATACGGTGCAGCTAAAATGCAATATTCAGAGCACATTCTTCAGACACACAATGGCTGAGGAGGTCCCTTCCAATATCAGTCAAAAGCCGTCTAATCTGTGCATCTCTGAGTCCGGCACATGAGACTGGAGGCAGCGTGTGTGTCTGCACGCTGTGGGGATGAATTAGTGAAACAAGAAAAGAGAAGCGTGTACAACAGAAGCTCTCCTGCGATTATTCTGTCCTAAAACGCTGCATGCTTCTATAATCCTCTCCCCTTAGTCATATGAGTGAGAGTGTGCACACTCAGATGCTGCAACAGGACAAAACGGTGCACATCCTCCTGTTAATGCTCTCCTCCTGTCTGCAGAGGTCACACAATGAGCCTCCACCCTGCCCCCCATCATCATCATGAAAATATTACCTTCACCATACAAGCACGTGCTCTGCTGGCATGTCCATCTGTCCAGCAGACCTTGGCAAAGATCAGTTGGCTATTATAAGGGTGCATGGAAACACAATGCAAAATGTGATATTATTAGTAGTGGCTGATAATATTTTTTTTAATCTGAAAGAATTATTGAATCTTCCTGACTGAGACTGCAGACGACGACCGTGACTGCAGCTTCTCGGCGCTCGTGCTTTTGCGGGGAAGCAATAATTCAATTATTTGGGGGGTGACCCCACACTCTGACCCCATGGGTGAGCAGGAATTGAGCAGCTCAACCAGAAGTCATGATGTTTAGCTTGCACGCAGACCGCAGGGGATCTATGAAGCAATCTAACACTGATAAGATACTATGAAGCAATCTAACACTGATAAGATACTATGAAGCAATCTAACACTGATAAGATACTTTTGGAAAAAGTGCTTTGTTCAACACATGTTTGTGTCTTACTGTGGGAAATATTGGGCCTTCAATCAGCTGTAGCACAAGACTAAATAAACTGGATGTTATTTCCTCCTGTCCAAGGCAACAAGGAGAAAGTCTGTGGGAAACTTCTTTATCCTGGGACTGATTCTCCATTATCACACCAGAAAACATTATAATACACTTATACACTCTGGGTGTGTGAGGGGAGGAAATCAATTGCAACTTACCAACTCGTCCAAATTTCTCATGTCCAATAAGATTCTCTTCTGCGGCCAGATGTGTGCCTCTGGATCAGGTTCCTCCTCTTCATCCTGCACGCTCTGGCAGCTCTCCTTCCGACCATTGCACCTGCTGGGCGACTTCTGCTCGCCCGGGTCCTGCCCATCGATCCGCAGACTCTCCTGATCCCGGATCTCCTCTTCGATCTCCTCCTCCAGCTGGATGAGCATGGGGGCCAGCATGCCGAACTTGGAGCCCCGCCGCGCCACCTCGAGCAGGCACAGGACGAAGTTCTTCTCGTTGCATCTCTCCACCAGGTCATTAGTCTCAAACATGAGGACGTCCTTGATCCACAGCTCCTGTCTGCACCACGCGATGAAGTTGGACACGTTGTCCCGTGCCAGAAACGAGCCGGGCACCACGCCGCGCGACTGGAAGACGACGTCTTTGGACGGCACCTTCATGGGGCGCGCGGCCTCGGGGTACTCCAGCTGGAACTCCTGCGCCGTGCGGTTCACGTTGTTGGCGTGCCGACACAGGGCGCAGCCCGACCCCAGCGCATCCATGAAGGTGTCCGCGGTGATCTCCAGATCGTACAGGGTGTTGAGCCACTCGGCCAGATCCTCCTTCATGGCGTACAGGTATTCCTCGCTGGATTTAAAGGGCCGGATACTTTTGGAGGCGGCAGACTGGATGTTGCTCTGATCAGCCATGTTGTCAGATTCTGTAGCAAGAAAAGTCTGCGTGATCTCCCACCGACCGTCTCATCGCGCAGCTGAGCTCCGAAGCCCCATCCGCAAAACACAACGTAGAAGCCGCGTTGGCGCACCCCTCGTGCCCATGATTTGCGTGTGCGCCTCTTTGCGGGAGCTAATAGAATCCGGGCCTTGCTCTGTCAGGAGCATATGGAGATGCGGGGCCGTGGCGCATGGATGCGTTTTCCGGATGTCTGCGGAAGCCGGCTTCCTACAGGGCGCATCGCCGGGTCCCCAAGCGACTCCAACTCAAGCGGTTCCTTAACCCACCCCCGCGATGACGACCAGATCAGCCACTGGTTTCCACATGTCACCATGGAGCTCCCAGTGCAGTGTGCTCAGCTCATCCCCCTGCAGACAGGCGTCGCACCGCCTCTTCAGCAGAAAGACCTGCTGAGGCTTAAAGCAGCAGAGCGACTCGGTGCCACATCCCATTATGAGGATCAACTCTGGAAACTTAACCCCGTGTTCACCACATCTCAAGTAGCAGGATTTGATCTATTATGAAGCATGGCTTGATAAAGATCAACCATGGCTGGAATAAGGAGGATATTTGTCCGTGAAAACGGGCTGTGTGTTAGTTTAAACCTCGTAAATGTCACATTAAAAGTGCTGATAACTGGGTCCAGACCAAAAGATTGCATGTTTTAATGAGTTGGAAATGAGTGACTGTCCAAAGTTCTGTCATGTTTGTGTGACTAGTGTTTAAAGGCCTGACACAGTAAAGCCTGAGACAGCAGGGTAAAGGACTTAAAGAGATGGATTATGGAGCCATCCAGTTCAATAAAAGCAGTCCATTCAAGAGCACATGATCTGTGCACATGATACATGAAGTCTGTTTTTCATTTTGCTGTAAAGATAACGGGTCTGCTGCTTTAATCGTTAACATTAAGCACAAAAAGGTGCAAGGCTGCTGCCAAAAACAATCACATACTGATCTTATTGAGGAGTTCATGAAAGCTGGAAGTGGGATGAGCTGACTGCAGCTGCAAATACTGGAACAATCAGAAATGCAGCGCTTGTTACGTGAAATATAATATAAAATTTTAAAAAGCAGCATTGTTCAAATTCTGATGTTTGTTAATGGGCCACATGTGAACTGTTGAACCAGAGAAATGTAAACTTTCAATGGCAGCAACACATTTTAATAAAGCTGGGACAGGACAACTAGATTCCTGTTTTAACAGTTTTAGGAGTTATGTCCAACTACAAAGTCCATTTACTTTTTGTGAAATCAATCAATCCCCCCCTCCCTTCTGAAGTCAGGTTGTGGGGGCAGCAGCTTGAAGAGGGAGGCCCAGACATCTTTCCACAGCCACCTCTGGGAGGACTCCAGTGATTACCAGACCAGTCAAGAGTCTCTTCAGCATGTCCTGCGTCTTGGTGTCCTTCCTGTTGGGACAAGCCTGGCACACCTTAGGAAGGTGTGTGTGTGTGTGTGTGTGGGGGGGGGGGGGCATTCTTACCACATGCCTGAACCACCTCAGCTGGTTCCTCTTGATGTGGAGGAGCTCTACTCCGAGTCTCACCCAGGTGCAGAAGCAGAGAAACAATATTCCAGCGTTACTTATAAAACGACTGCTTCGTGGAGAAGTCATTTGTTAAAACCTTCCTCTTTGATAAATCTAATTAGCAGCTAGAAGCTTTTAAAATGTTTTTTAAAACAATTTAAGAAACATTTTGCTGCCCTTAAATATAGTTGTTCTGTATCGTTAATCACAACTTGTTTTTTTTCTGATGAGGTGGGATGTTTTCTGCATTATTCCCTCAAAACTGATGGTTATCACCTTTAATTTCTACGTTAACTTGGACTATATGAGTAGTTTTAAAATTGCCGCACGTTCTAACTGCATTCACAAATGCTGTAGCCTCTGAAGTCTTTACATCGTTCTCATTGGACCAGCTCATTTTCACTCTTCATGTGCAGTTGTTAAAACTAGAGTGCAGCCTTTGCCAAGGAGGGCCTGTTTTCATTTAAAAAGAGAAATGTCAAGAGGAGAGGGGGAGCTTGAAACAGAAACGGAGAGAAAAAGAAGGTGGAGAGACTAATGAGATCATTTTCTGGGCTTGGATGAATCAGCTTTTCTGTCAGTAAACAGGAGGATGTAGCACTCTTATTTACATGAGCAACAGGACAAATGAGAAAGATTTCAAGGAGTCAGTTGAACATAAGTTCCCCTCTTATTTTTTCAGCCAGCTCAAAACAAGCAGATTCTATTCCCTCCATCATGAGCTTATAATAAGTAAAAAAAAGAACAAGCAGAAATATTTAAAATGCAGTCACAGGAATATTCCCAAAGCATAAAATCTAATATTTTATGAATATAGAAATCAAACCCATAAATGTGACTATAGCTTTGTTTGACATATGCAAAAAATAAATAAATAATCAACATTTGACTATCAAGACACTTTTACCACTAGGTGTTCACTAAATTTAGTGGGACTATGTGCTTTAGAGAAAAAAAGTTAATCTTTTAGACGTGTTTCAAAACTTATTTTAAATTCCATTAATATTCTTGGTCAAAAGTGGTTTCCAATCTGTGCCATCTACTGGTAACATGTTTAACTGCAGAGGGTATTCAAATGTAAATACTGGTTTACATGTAAATGCATTTAGATGGTAATGTACGTAGCCTACGTGTAAATGTGCTATATTTGCAAACGCATAAAAACTAAAAATGTTTTAGATTTTCTAAACAGGGCAGCATGCTGAAAGCTGGTAGAGCTGCCACCTCTCAGCGAGGTCTGTTCTAATCCCAGCCGGGGTGGGGCCTTTCTGGGTGGTTTTGCATGTTCTCTCTGTGCATGCATGCATGGGTGTCCTCCAGGTTCTGTTTTCTCCCACAGACCAAATACATGTTTGTTAGGCTAAGTGCTAACTAACCACCTGCACTTTCATCCGTTAGCCCACTACTGAACAAACTGTACACATAATCTAATATCTATTGTTCATAAGTACTCACATACTTATATATATATATATTTTTTTTTTCTTTTATATAGTTTGTTTATACCCCTTCATATTATAACCTGTTAGTGTGACAAGTCCCTTCCTCTACTCCTCCATAGTCTGTACATTCACAACCAGTGGTGGAGAAATTACTCAAACACTGTACTTAAGTAAAAGTACAAATAAACAGACAAAAATATACTCTAGTGAAAGTATAAGTACCACATTAACATTTTTACTTAAGTAAATACGTACTTGCTTTTAAAATACTTAAAGTATTAAAAGTAAAAGTACATTTTCTGTGATACATTAATAGTGTTGTGTCATTTTAATGAACAATGCTGCAGATAATACATGTTTTTGTGTTTACTCTGTGACACAGTTCACACTTGGACTTGTGATTCTGTGCGTCAGAATTTCAATTCAATTCTATTCAATTCAATTCAAAAATACTTTATTAATCCCAGAGGGAAATTATTTGTTGTTGTAACTCATTATCCTCATTTCATTAAGAGATGTTATAGATACTGATGGCTGTAGACTGGAAGGATCTCTTGTAAAGGTCCATCCCACAGTGGATCCTAAGAAACTGGCTGCAGATGCTGTCTGATCCGTCCACCCAGACTCGGCTGGCATCTCGGTTCCCCTCGGGCTGTAGGACCGCCCAAATGCCGGGCAAAACTCCTCCCAGAGCGATGGCCACTCCTCCCAGCAGTCTGCCGAGCTCCTCGTCACTGCGGACAGCCAACTGTAGGTGCTGAGGGACGATCCTGTCCTTCCGCTGTCACAAGCCGCGTTTCCTGCTAGTTCCAGGATCTCAGTGATCAGGCACTCGAGCACAGCTGGAAGGTAGATGAGAATGCATCCACAGAACATCCTTTTCAACTCACTTGAGATTTGGGGCTGTAGTTGAGATATTATTTAAGCTTTTGAGATGTTAATCAGCTGCTGTTCGTTGTAGAAAACAGCCTTGTTGCCATGGTTACGCATCATAACAAATGTCCAAAAATAAAAAAGTTTCAGTAAAAATCCTTCCAGCTGCACAGCATCTGATACCAGAGGAAACAATCATCCAAAAAATGTGATTTACATCCAGAAAAAGAGGAATTAAAGTTTCCAAAAGCAAAATCTCAAAATGAATGTAACAGAGCTGCTCCAACATGCAGCCACCTTGAGCGGCGCAATTCTAGAACGCAACAGGGATGACCTGCAGAGTTAAATGTCATCAAAATAAGAAAGAGGAATGATTTTACCTTTGAAAGTTTCTATTTAACACAAATCAAAACCAATGTGTCATTTTAACTGCAGAAAACACATTTAAGTAAAAGTTGTCTGCCTGAACAAAAGAAGCATTAGACACAACTAACAAAGGAATAGGCTCTGATCATTTCCACTGATATTTCAACTCCAGTTTGTCATCAACTCTAGTTAAAATACGGTCTATTCAACCTTGTAATGGATCAATAGTGAACAATATTTTAACTTCCTGACACCATTTTTTAAAACTTGGACCCGAGTGTCGAGCCATTTGGAGACATCTCTTGTCTCCCAACATCCCATGAACTGACACATTTTAATTTTGCAGCAAGAATTTCTTGTTCAAGTTCAGAAGAAGTTGGTTTTCAAAGATTTTTGAGTCCAATCTGGCTTTTTTGGGAGAGACAAGCTGTCCTGCTCTACTGAACAGTTTTTCAATAAGGACATGGGTGGTGCATATCTTCTGGCTGACTCTTGCGATGGAATACATTTTGGGTGTAGTGGTGCTGTGGGTGCAGGCAGCTCAGTGACATATGTCATTGGCCCAGCTCTTCTTGAAGGCGGGCCTAACGTTACCTGTCCACTTTGCTGTGATTCAATGGACCAGCTCTCCTCTCACCATTGGTTACTTTCAAACTAACGAACAAATCAAAAAGCCGCAACATGAATGTAACTTGTAACTCAACGCACTATAGAAATGTAGTGTAGTAGAAAGTAGATACTTCATGTAAAATGTAGTGGAGGAAAAGTAAAAAGTACCCACATTTAACTCTACTTAAGTAAAGTAGATACATGAAAAATGTACTTAAGTACATTAACAAAGTATTTGTACTAGGTTACATCCCACCACTGCTCACAACCTGTATATGTTTATACCTATAGCATATTCAAAGCAGCTTACTGTATATTGTACTATATAAATCTACCAATTCATTTTTTTGCTTAAGCACTTCTGGATAGATGCAAACTGCATTTCGTTGCTTTGTACCTGTGACATGTGCAATGACAATAAAGTTGAATTCTATTCTAGATATGCACGCACACACATATATATATATATAGACATATATCTATAAATTGGTGTTGGGTTAGAGGGGGGCCCTGTGAGCTTCAGTGACTAACCTGGGGTTGCTAATCTGGCCCTCAGCCACACCCACTTCTCTGTTCTGAACGAGAACAGCTGATCAGCTGCAGCAGGAAGCAGTACGAGCTGCAGAGAAAGGAGGAAGCTTTTTCTGCAGCTGTGTGGGCTGCACAAATGTAAAGCAGGTGCTAACTAATTTAAAATAAGTTACTTTAAATAAAAATTCCATGCTTATCATGTGGCTCATCCATCAATCAGCCAATTGTGTTGTGTCTAATTTTATTTTGAAGAACTGCGATGGAGCGAGTCCATGACAAAAGAACTGCGAGGTAGCAAGGGACTACTTGTAAACTATACAGACTGGTAACTCAATTAGTTCCCAACTGTAATGCAACTTAATGAAAAAACAAACAAGCCTTTTTTTTTTTTTTTACCTTCAAATATTCACCCAAACTACTTATGGGGTTATAGCAGTAGCAAGAACCAAGTAAATGGGAACATAATTTTTTAACTAAAAAAGGTTTAAAAATTTTACACAAAAACTCTTAAAATGGACAATACTTCATTTTGTGATTTAGCAGCTTTGATTAGTAAATTAACATTCGTTTGTTCTGTTTTTTTATTGTATGAGGGAGTAAAAAAGCCCATAACTCAAAACTTCAAATGAGTAAAACTTTATTTCCCAACTACCATCATCTAACTCATGGGAAAGAGGGGTACCGGTAAATATAGGAACCAATGGAAAAAAAATTACATTTCACGATACAACGTCAAATCTAATCTGCATATTTAAAAACAAAAGACATGCACAGTACAGGATGCAATATAAACATGGATAAACTAAAAAAATTAAAGAAAAACAGAGTTGACAAACTGCAGTTTGCATGAAAGCCTATAACCATCAAAAATATGGAATCATAAATTAAAACTTCTTTAAAAACTTCCTCAAGAGAAGCAATCAAGAAGTTTTCCTTCAGTATGGCCGGTCTCTACGCTCCTGGCGATGATCCCTAAACAAACAAAAACAGGAATGTAGAAATATTTGAAATCCGAAAGCATCATCAGCATCAATAGATGAATTACTGATTAACCATCTCTAATAATTTGTTTGAAATTATTAAAAATGTACTCAATCAGGAGGAAATCTTACCTCATATCCATCTTGCCACCTGGTGGTCCCATTCCTCTTCCACCTCTGCCACCCATGGGTGGCCCCCCACGCCCAGCACCGCGGAACCCTCCTCTGTCCATTCCACCACGTCCTCTGAATCCACCACGGTCACCTCCCCAACCTCCACGAAAACCTCCGGGTCCACCTGGGCCTCCAACTCCTGCTGGCCCTCCACGGTCCATGCCTCTGCCTCTATGCATTCCCATTCCACCGCGGCCACGGTCACCTCCAGGAGGAAAAGGAGGGCCACCACCCAAGCCCTCAGGTTTGGGAGCTTTGCACTGGTTACATTCCATCCTCCAGGCAAAGTTTTGGTTGCCACAACCCCTGCAAGAAATATTACACAAATGACAAAATTGTGAATAACAAGCAAAAACAAAATACCTTCATAAAAGTGCAGAAGTACAAAAATCTACATACGGATTGGGACACTCCCAGTCTCCAGCTCTTTGCTGCATGTTGGCTCCTGTGGGTCCACCTCTGTTCATTCCACGTGGACCTCCTCGTGGGCCAAAACCACCACGCTCTCCTCCACGACCCATCATACCTGATTAAAAAAAAAGAAAGAAAGAAAATTAAAGCAATTTTCAATGTACAAAAACATTCACGGAATTACCTGCAAAATAACTTGAGTTTCAAACATAAAGCAAGACAAAACCAACAAATTAATTTAGGCATTTACATGATGTCCTGTAGAAACTGACAAGACAAACGTATCCTGATGCATGCTCAATAACACAGATAGAAAAATCTAAAAAAGTTAAGTCGGGTCCTCTGGACGTTCTAAACGTTTTGAACGTCCAGAGGACCCGACTTAACTTTTTTAGATGACAAGACAAACAGTACATGAACAAATACGGCTGACATTTACCTCCACGGCCCATCATGCCATCACGCATGGGCATGCCACCTCTCATTCCCCCCATCATGGGTTTTCGGCGAGCCATGGACACCTTAAGTTTTCGGCCTTGAAACTCTTTCCCTGTGGTTGAGAAAATTAAATATTCTCATCCTAAATACTGGATACATTTTATGAAGAACTTATGTACATTTGGTATCGATTTAGGAATGGTGGTTTATTTGTAAAGCATACCATCAAAATGTTCCACGGCTGCTTTAGCACTAACGGGCTCCTCATACGACAAAGTGGCATCCCCCTTGGGCTTTCCTGTGTCCTTGTCTGTGTAAATGTTGATGGCAGCATGACCCAGTCTGCGGTTCATCTTCATACAGAGGGAAAGTAAAGTTTTTACATTAGCTGCACGTTTTGTACCGACACTTATACTGTGAACATAAAATCTATAAAGAATCTGCAGGTATTAGCAAAGCTGTCTATGCATGTACGAGAAATGCTCTTGCGGTAAGAGTTGTGCCAAGATCCTTAAGGAGCAAACACAACAAAACTGGACAAGATGCATGACAAGACAAGGTTCACCTGATGTTTGTCTGCTTTACCACAATCGGCCTACCTGAAAAATGAATTATTCTTACCCTTAATGTTCCAACGTGCTTAAAGAATTCAGCCATTTCTTCTACGTTAGCCTTCTCGGTCAATCCTGTGATGTAAATTGTGCTGTTCTCAGAGTCATCCTGCTCTTCTGGACGTCCTACAGGTAGGAAAATTTTAAATAATTAAATAAATTGTACACTTTACCATTTCAAGATACTTGTAAACCAACTATAACAAGTGGCAGTGTGGGGGCAAGAGAAGATTTGCTTACCCATTTCACGTTCATCACCCATAGGTCCTTTAGTTCACCAATTGAGAATGAGAGAAACAGATTGAGAGAAGTCAGTGAGTGGAACTGTAATTTAGTATACAACACCTGAGAAATACTACAGATGATATTTCAAACACTCTTTAGACAAATGACTCGTATTGGGAAGTTGAAAAATTGTACTTTGTGGCAGAAAATTCCCACAAATGATAATCTGAATTGAGAATTGAACACTTCAGACCCTTTGGCAAAAATGAAATGTGTCATTTGAAAAGCCTTTAAGACCAGTGAGAAATCCTCCAAAATATAAAATAGATTCAGCTCAAATCTGATGAAGCAGCAACACTTAAAAGATTTGTTTTAACCCACCTGAAGCTTGTCAAAAAATAACCAACTGAATTGTACAACCAGGAGCAAATGGTCTTAGGCATAAAACAAAAATAAAAAAATCAATTTTTTCCCCCAAAATATCTGTAAAATGTTGTATAACCCAACACTAAACATTTATGCACAAGGCATATTTACCCAAAAAGTTAAAGCTTTTGAAAAGACTAACCAGTGTAATACTCGTTAACTTACCACCAGGCTTACTGAAGCCACCTCTGTCTCCGGCGCTGCTAGGGGGGAATAAATGGAGATATGAAGGCGTTTCCCTTTTACAGCCACTTCCATGGCTCGAGCAAAGTGGCTTGATTGAGGGAGTAATCAAAACATTGCAACTAAGCGGACAGCAACGTAAAGTACCTCCCCAGAAATATGTAACAATCTTATGGAGGTGGATTATTACTGTAATTTTTTTTTAGCTAGATCAAAACAATTTCAGTGACAATTTGCAGTAGTGGATACACTTTCAAAAACATTAATGACTAACATGTTTTCACAGTCTTTTAAGATGTGGTAAATCTAAAACATCTGTACAATTATAGAACTAATTCAGATGCATGGATGGCACACATACTGCACCCAAGACAAGCCATTGCTCGATTAACATTAATTTTGAATACAACTTATTGTACAGTTTATATTATATATATATATGCATCTGAAATTTCACAGGAGCTATGTGATCACATTAACCAAGTAACAAAAAAAAAAAAGAATACACAATGATCCATAAAAAAAAAAAAAAAAAAAAGATAAAACACCAAGTATATTTATACAGAGTTTACCAAGGATATGTTCAGTTAAACAAAACTTGATATGCCCGTCATGCTTATAAAACAAAGCACCATCCTCAGTTCTTGAAAAAAGGCAGACTTGGAATCTTTGTTTAAGCTCCTTCCTGTTGCTTAAGCTGGAGACTCTGTACTGAGCAGATACTTTTAGAGAAAAGATGGTTTAAAATGGCTCTCACTGTTACCTGTACGGTATAAATGTGACAAAGCATGTTAAAAAGTGCTCAAAATAAAAATAAGACAATGGTATTCCAAGTCACAAAACAATTTAACACATTTCAAAAACACACCCACCCCCCACAATACCTGTGCAGAGGCAAACTATGCTAAAATGCTAACTACAACTTCATATGTTTAACTCTTGGTTTAACAAATTTAACCATTTGTGCAACTTAATTTGTTTCCATGAATGATTTTTTTCAATTTTTTTTAAAACCTTTCTTCAGCATGTAAGATCATGTCTACAAATAAAGGCTGCACCATTATATTTGCATGCTGTAAGTCTGGGGCCAAGCAACCAAACTCATTTTTAAGTAATATTGTATAAAGACACGCTCTGACAATTTTAAGTCAAAAGCTGATTGTGTAACACAAATGTAGAATACAAGAGATATTTTCTGTTAAGACTTGATGTGTTTATACATCTTTATAAATTTGACCCTTTAACAGCCTTGTTCCAGAGGTAGTGTGCAAACTGCATTTAAAAGCCAACAACAAAGGAGCTGTAACAAGGGGAGCAGAGAAGGGAGATTAAACCAGTGAGGTACAAAACATTTGGACAAATATAATTTTTGCTTAATATTCGAAATTGTTTAAAAGTTAAACTCTCAGGTAAAACAGCTTAAACAATTCTGTACACAGCCATACACAACTGAAACTGGTCAATATTTTTCTTCCCCGTCTTGTATTCTTGTTTTTCTCCTGTCCTTTATATGTACTAATTTGATTATTGAGTTAAATGTAATTTTTCATCATTTTAAATTTAAAATGGGGTTATTTATTTTTTTAGACTGTCCAGGGCAACTTCTACAAATTAGCAGGCTTGAAGGCCCATATACAGGTGTACATTTACATGCACCTTCCTCATACCTGAGAATTCATGCACATGTTTGCTTGAAAAGAATCAAGTATAAAATAAAAAAAATGGTGCAAATAAATTTTTCTTTAATAAGTATATCAACCAACCAGAAAACTTTAAAAAGATATTTAAAATATCAAACCTTAGGAAGGCGAGCTTTAAAAAATTGGGATTCCAAACCCACTCATAAATTTTTTTTAACTTTTACTTTAATTGAGTAAACAATTTATTCAGAGATCATTCAAATGAATGACTTGTCAGATTATTGTCTCTTTATTTAAGACATGTAATAAATCGAAACCAACACATGTGTAATACCCCCATAATTTCTCACACCTTGTTTTTGGTCTCAAACTGCTCATATTATTTTCAAATGGGAAAAATGTTTAAATTATTTGTTCAAAACACAAGTGTGTAATTAATGAGTAATAAACCGGAAAACTAGTCACCAGAGTTTTACTCTAAACTGGAATAAATTGCACCAAAATCCATGGACTGACAAAACTACAAAACCAGACTTTGATTAGTTTTTGAATACTGGTGAAAGCAGGTTTTTAAGGTCATTGTAAGGTCACCGTCTTGTTTTCCCATGTTTTTGAGGTTTGCCTCTTTAAGTGTTTGGGGTCTTCCATCTTCCAACTTAAGACAAAAAGTGAACTTCAACAACATTCAGTGAAGTGAAAATGTAAATTTATGCATAAAATTAGCTTTTAAAATACTTCTCGACCCCATAATTCCTCACCGCCCTCTGAACTTTTCAAACGTCAGCAAAACCCATTGAATTGATTCAAAAACCTCTTTAGGTAGAAAAAGCGGTGCAACAAATGTTCAGCTTTTGGAACTAACGTAGACATTAAAAACCAAAAGAGAACTTTTTTTTTTAAAAAGGAGGATCTCAAGAGAAAAGGGGTTCACAAATCACTGAGATTGAAATTTATATTTGGAAGTTCTGCCAGTTGACTGCAGTCATATTTTTATCCCCATCTCTTCTCCCTGGCCTTTGACACCATCTGTAATGTTGACTTTTAATTATTTTAATCATTCTTTATTATCTGTTTTATTATGTGTACAGCAATTAGGTCCTGTGGGTGTTTAAAGTGCTCTACAAATAAAGCTGGTATGGGATGTATTTGTTTAGGTTACATTTGTTGACACCAGTTGATAGGCAATATGCATTTTCTGCCATATTCCAAAAAAACACAGCAACACCTTAAAATACCAATGAGGTGGTAAATCAAAAAGCCAGGAGCAAACAAACTAACTGTGTGCACAAATGTGCTTTTAAGATGGAACTGAAAATATTGTACCAGCACAGTATATTACTTTATTTGGTTTTGCAAGATTCGTTACGCACACAGTGCTATAAGCCTAGAAAACAGAATATTTTCCATGAATTTGTCCAAATACAAATCACCCATGTATATAAAGTTTGAATGAATATACCTCTTAATAAAATCCAATTAAGTTGACATGTAAAATTTTGTAGATTGTGAAAAAAGGAAATCATAAAATCTGCCACTTCCCAACTATTCAAAACATGGTTGTCACCCATCACAAATTATATATAAGCTATTCAATCCAATGTTTAAGCACAGGTCTCAATTTGAATATTAATTTGTATATTAAATAAATTAAATGCAGGAATCATACTTACCTTTGACAAAATGAGGCAGGGCCAAGAAAAACTGCATGAGAATGACAATATTGATGGCACACTTAGCCACTGTGATTTAAAATTTTTTTTTTTTTTTTTTTTTAATCGGGACACAATTTAATAGCACAAACAGCCAATAAATTTCTATATTTCCACAACTTTTACAAGCATTAAAAATATTAGTTTGGAGTGAATTGTCTTTCTCAAAGATCGTCCTGGCCCTGGCCCAAATAGCCACAGCATCTGTAGTCAAAAAACAAACTGAGATTACATGCTAAGGAAATATACATACCCCATTCCACGCCCCATGCCACCACGCCCACGATGCATCATTCCACCTCGATCAAAGCTGTCCCTGCCAGGGCCCCTGCTTTCCCCACTCTGGTACCTTCCAGGCTCAGAGCCTGGGTAACCAGAACCTCCACCCTGGCTATCCTGCCTGTAATCTTAAAAAAAAAAAAAAAATTATATATATAAAAATTAATACAGTACTATCAGTACAAAGAGCTAAAGAGTTTACAGTAATTCTGGACCTGATTTCAAGTTAAATACTTTGGATTATTGGTATCCAAATAGCAATACTTACTGTAATGGCCAGCCTGGCCGTAACTGGGTGGTCCTCCTTGCTGACTGTATTGACTGGCTGCAGCCTGTCCATAAGAACCAGCACCCTGAGGAGGGTAGGCAGGAGGAGCTTGCTGCTGCTGTGGTGTCTGCTGTTGGTAGGCTTGCTGTTGGCTGTAGCCTGCCTGCTGACCCTGGTAACCAGGTTGTTGTTGTCCATATGTTGCAGGCTGGGAGTAACTGTTTTGGTTGTAACTAGCAGGCTGGCTGTTAGCGTTATAACTACAAGAGAGTAAATACAGTGCATTAGGTAAAACAGCGTTAAATAATCTAATACTAGGTTGATTTTACCAAAAAAAAAAAAACATACCTCTGAGGTGCAGAAGGAGCAGCCTGTTGACCATATCCAGGATAGGCAGTCTGAGCAGTGTACCCTGGCTGAGAGCCATAAGACTGGGAGGGAGCTGGAGCAGCAGCAGTTGCTGCAGGTGTACTATCATAACCACTGGCTCCATAACCCTGGGCTGACTGTGCGTAGCTATGAGTGGTAGACTGGGTAGCAGGATATCCAGCTGTATAAAAAAAAGAAAAAAAAAAAAAAGGAAATTCTGAGCTTTTTAAAATAAGTACTTTTGTTCAAGCATTGATTCCTACTTCTAGTTCAAAAACTTATTTACCAAGTAAAAACAGACAAACAGACCTGTGTCACATTAAAAAAAGCTAACCTGCTGTTGCCTGCTGGCCATATGAAGATCCATACTGCTGTTGCTGCTGCTGAGGGTATCCTCCAGCTGCAGGGGTAGCCTGGGTGTAAGTTGTGTCAGCTGCAGGGGCAGCAGGTTGAGCATATGATCCATAACTCTGCTGGCCATAGGTCTGCTATGGAAAGGGAAAAAACAAACAGTTGCTATTTATAATATGTATAAACTATTGTTCCTTAAAATTTACTTATAGACATTATTAACAATTGTCCTGATGCATGCTCAATTATCAATAATATTTACAATTGGGTTTACCATTAGCGACATTGAACAACAAAAGCAATCTTCGACAGAGAATCTACCGGTACTTATTTTGTTCTAGCTCACCTGAGCAGCCTGTCCATAACTTTGCGATGGCTGGGCAGCATAGGAGGCATACCTGTAAAAAAGGTACTCGTGTGAACTTATAGCACGATAACTGTATTGCAACCCTTGCTCCGTCCATTTGTAATACTACTGATACTACTCTTCTTACAATTTCATTTGAACATTTTTGCAGTCATACAAATTAATTTTATTTAGATAGCATTAAACATCCATAAATATATAACCCAAAAAATAATACGCGATTTGATTGAACTTACCCCTGCTGAGCAGTAGTCTGGGTGTAGGAGCTGTAATCTGTGAAAACAAACGTTAATGTCGGTTAAAACCAATTACGGTAAGTTTTTGAACAAAACGTTCGCGCGCGCGAGGAAGCACTAGGCCGTTGCGTCGCCATTCAATGCAAAGTTCATGCTGAATAGGAATTAAACAAAGCAACAAGACTTTCATTTGTTAAATTTATACAAGTGTGGACAAAATTAAACCCACTCTGCTGTGATTTGTAATTTAAAAGTAAACTTGAGTAAGCACAAATTGAAAATAAGCCATGCGGTAATAGCCGCTTTTCGACGAGGAGCTAAAGACCAGGCCCGCCACGCAGCGATCCTTACAAATACATTTTCAACCATAGACACCAAGAAATATAGAACAATATCGTTACTTATGCATGTAAAACAACTTATTCTGAAAATATCTTGATCGTAATTGCAGAAATGTGTAAAATAAGTTCAAAATACTAATTTTTCACTCACCGGGAGCTGACGCCATTTTAGCAAACTGCACGAGACGACCAAACGCAGTAGAAATGATGTCTTCGCGCGGTGAAGAACTGTCAAATCTCGCGAGAGTTGTCCAAGGATTTTTCTTTTTTTAGAAATCTTTATTAAACAAATGAACAAAAGCATGGGGGAATCTGGTTCTACCGTTAGTCATACAGTTAACCAGCAGGTGAGCGCTTAAAGTATACATGGTCATTTAAAGATGTCTGTATTTAATTATACATGTTAACATGATTATTACTCTTGATAAAAACAACAATTCAAGGGAATTTGTAAAGCAATGTGTATGTTTAAAATATTATTGCACTTGGGAAAATTGTGGTATTTATTGTAAATGGATGATATCTGAATTGATTTATGCGTGAAATGCTTATTTCTTACTTTTGCTGCCAAGCTTGAGGAGGATGTATTCTACCCACTAAAATGGAGGGATCATGATGCCATAGGGTAACAAAAGGACACCGAGACATAATTACATTGACTGAGGAAAGTTTATTGTAAGATTTCATAATTGTGTAAATTTATAATGAATCAGACCAAGTTTGGGGAAGAAGATGGAAGTTTGCTCCTTCACTCACGGACATTATTAACTTATGTTTCCAGGTTTCCCGGACTTCAACTCAGAGTTAGGAGCTGAGGCGGGAGGCCCATAGATATGGGAGGCGGGCCAGACCAAACATCATTTGTTACACGTTTCAAACGGGGTGAAACAATTGGAACACATGTTGAACCAAAATGGCTCCCAGCGTTCTTCAGTCTCTATGAAAAGTTTTCTCCCATTCATTTCCTATGGGAAATTTGGCATCTTTGTTAGCAAAATATGTTGCCTTGGTAACTCCGAATGCCAATAAAAGTAATGGCACACTTCCCGTTGCCTGGTTGGTCGTTTTGATATAACTTTTGTGGGGGTCCATGTTGCGGTTCGGGCCGCATTAACAGAGACTGAAGAATAATAAAGAAACTAGAAAGTTCCTGGAGAAACTTTGACAGGGGCTGCCTATTTATTATTAAAGTATTATTAATAATATTATTAATAATTAATAATAATATTATCATTGATTTATTAAATATATATAAACTGTTAATATATTTGATAATATTGATATAAATAAGTAATATCCTGATGCATGCTCAATAATCCAGGTAGAAAAATCTAAAAAAGTTCAATCTGGTCCTCTGGACATTCAAAAAAAACAAAACAAAGCAAAACAACAAAAAAATGTAGAAACGTTTCGTCTCTCATCCGAGAGACTTCCTCAGTCTGAGGTGCTGTATTCAGCTCAGTCTCTTAAATAGCACCTTCTCAGAGTGGATCAACCAGTTTTGCTGCTGACAACCAAAACCAGCTGATCACATGATCAAGAAGGACCATCAGCCTAACGATGGATCATTAGCACACTGATGGCTGTTTACTATTCACAGAGGGCTGAGTGATACTAGCAATCACAGCATTGTAAGAGGGGGACAATTGAACCCGGAGGCCTCCACCCCTGTTTAATAATGGACGATTTCTTTTCACAAACATGGCCTCCTTTACTCCTCTCTCAAACCATCGTTCCTCTCTATCCAGGATGTGCACATCTTCATCCCTGAAAGAGTGACCGCTGGCCTGGAGATGAGTGCAGACCGCAGAGTCCTGGCCTGATAATGTTGATCTTCTGTGCTGGGCCATCCTTTTGGCCAGTGGCTGTTTAGTTTCCCCGATGTAAGACTGATCACAGCCCTCCTGACACTGAACAGCATACACAACATTACTCTGTTTGTGCCGGGGGACTGGATCTTTGGGATGAACCAGTCTTTGCCGTAATGTATTTTGGGGTTTAAAAGCCACTGGGACGTTATGTTTAGAAAATAAATGTCTCAGTTTCTCTGAGACCAATTTTACTATTGAGGCCTTGAAGGCCAAGGAAGAGTGCATTAAACAAAAACTAACTACATGCCTAGATCAGCCCACACTTCAGCAAGTGATGGACTGTACATATCAGGCACGCTTAGCACAGCATGTCAAGTCCAAGACTCGACAACAAAACAAGTTTAACGTACTAATAGCTCATCAACACCATCACTATTCCAATAACAACACATTCAGTGTAGGACAACACTCCAGTAGTCAATTACATGTCAGGGAGACAGAAAAGTGGGTGAAGAATTTATCTGACAGACAGCTCACCCAGCCAGAGACAGAGATTCTTGCCAGGGGACTGAACTTTGCGGTTGCACCAAGTAGAATTCCTCTGGTGGAGATGATCACAGCTACTGAGTCAGCCATCCGCAACAACAAAATTAAAGAGGGTAAAGCAGAACAGCTCAGAATCAAAATTTCAGCCTGCCTCAGCAATGCCAAACCACCACCTTCCAACATCAGTAGAGAGGAGAGGGACGCACTCACCACTCTTAGCAAGGACAAAAACATCATCATTCTCCCAGCAGACAAAGGAAGGTGCACAGTGATTTTGAACCAGAAAGACTATCATGAGAAAGTTATGACACTCTTTAGTGACTTAAACACTTATGAACCTCTGAAAAGAGATCCAGGAAGTGGTTACAAGAAGAAGATTGCCTGAAAATTTTGGAGCAGGACAAGGCTATTGACCGTTTTCTGTACCACAGACTGTACCCAGAGGAGGCCACACCTGGTCTGTATGGTTTACCTAAAATCCACAAACAAGGTGTACCTTTAAGACCAATCGTTAGCATGATTAACTCTGTCACTTACAATGTTTCCAAATATCTGGCGTCTGTACTCATCCCTTTAGTTGGCAGCTCAGAACACCACATACAGAACACCATGGACTTTGTGGATAAGGTGAGGGATGTCATCATGGAGACTGATGAAACAATGGTCTCTTTTGATGTCACATCACTCTTTACGTGCATTCCTGTTGATGATGCAGTAGAGGTGGTCAGTTTAAGATTAAAATCAGACACCACTCTGAGCAGCAGGACCACGCTTTCCACAGAACAACTGTGTCAACTCTTGAAACTGTGCCTGCAGTCAACCTACTTCACATATGGGGAGCAATATTATAGTTAGAAACATGGGTGTGCTATGGGGTCTCCAGTCTCTCCTATTGTTGCCAACCTGTATATGGAGGAGGTAGAAAAGAGAGCCTTGACGTCCTTTTCAGGGACACCACCAAGTCATTGGTTCAGGTATGTTGACGACACCTGGGTTAAAATCAAATCTCAGGAAGTCCAACATTTTACTGACCACATCAACTCTGTGGATAAATACAACAAGTTCACACGAGAAGATGAAAAAAATGGCAAGTTGGCTTTCTTGGACTGTGAGGTCTCAGTCTCTGATAGAGGACATTTGCAAACTGAGGTGTACCGCAAACCCACCCACACAGACCAGTATTTGCAGTTTGACTCCCATCACCCTTTGGAGCACAAGTTAGGAGTCATCAGGACTCTGTATCACAGAGCAGACAGCGTCCCCACTAGCTCAGGAGCCAGGCAGAAGGAGAAATCCCACACAAGACAGGCTCTAGAGCAATGTGGATATCCTAACTGGGCCTTCCTGAAAGCAGAGAAGAAACCCAAACAGGACTCCAGTCAGCCAACAGGTGAAAAGGAGGAACCCAGACCCAGACCAGTGGTCATTCCATATGTTGAGGGAGTATCAGAGAAACTGACACGTTTATTTTCTAAACATAACGTCCCAGTGGCTTTTAAACCCCAAAATACATTACGGCAAAGACTGGTTCATCCCAAAGATCCAGTCCCCCGGCACAAACAGAGCAATGTTGTGTAAGTTGTTCAGTGTCAGGAGGGCTGTGATCAGTCTTACATCGGGGAAACTAAACAGCCACTGGCCAAAAGGATGGCCCAGCACAGAAGATCAACATCATCAGGCCAGGACTCTGCGGTCTACACTCATCTCCAGGCCAGCGGTCAATCTTTCAGGGATGAAGATGTTCACATCCTGGACAGAGAGGAACGTTGGTTTGAGAGAGGAGTAAAGGAGGCCATCTTTGTGAAAAGAAATCGTCCATCATTAAACAGGGGAGGCCTCCGGGTTCAACTGTCCCCCTCTTACAATGCTGTGATTGCTAGTATCACTCAGCCCTCTGTGAACAGTAAACAGCCATCAGTGTGCTAATGATCCATCGTTAGGCTGATGGTCCTTCTTGATCATGTGAGCAGCTGGTTTTGGTTGTCAGCAGCAAAACTGGTTGATCCACTCTGAGAAGGTGCTATTTAAGAGACTGAGCTGAATACAGCACCTCAGACTGAGGAAGTCTCTCGGATGAGAGATGAAACGTTTCTACATTTTTTTGATGTTTTACTTTCTTTTGGTTTTTTTTGAATGTCCAGAGGACCAGATTGAACTTTTTTAGATAAATAAGTAATATTAATTAATTTATATTTAATAATTGTTATTTTTGATGTTTTACTTTCTTTTGTTTTTTTTTTAATGTCCAGAGGACCAGATTTAACTTTTTTAGATAAATAAGTAATATTAATTAATTTATATTTAATAATTGTTATTTGTAATTATTAAAGAGTCATTAATAATTTGTTAATTATTTTTACTAATTAATAATAAGTGCCTTGGCAGTCCCCAATAAAACATGTTCTGTAAATGACTATAAATAAATAAATAAAAATTTGCACAGATGGTTATTTTGGCATCATTAAGTATTGCAGAATATCATTTTCTTGTTGATCATGTAATTTGTCATGACGTTAGGTTTGAGCGCCCTCTGATGGCAGTTTTAAGTACTACTCTACCAAGTTTTTTGGGTCAAAGAAAAATAGAAAATGTTTAAACATTAAAATGAACACACTTTGAATATATCTGTCAGTCAACCTGTGAATGATCCACCTGTCCATCCAAACTCTTTCTAAACCCTCTTGATTGGTCATGCAAAGATGGTGCCCAAAGCTGAGAGGCTGGGTCCACCCAGTGAAGGTCAACTGTCCAAATCAGGGCTAATGACGCAAAGGAATCAAAACACAAGGAACAGAAGAATAAAACATAAACCACAAGGACAAATAAAACTGATGATATGATAACGGGTAAAGATAATGAATGCATGATTCATCACATAAATAAAAGCATAAATAAACAAGTACTTGTACATAAACACACAGATAATACCACGTTCTTTCTACCTGCTGATTGATACCCAGATAGCAGTGGACTCTGACCTCAGATTTTTATTTATTTTTACTAAGACAAAAATTAATGGGTAATCATTTGAAATTCGACCTCTGAACACAGAAGTGAGAGAATTTGAAACGCTTCTTTCACACTGACAAATAGTGGGCGTAGAGAAATGTAAATTTAAACTCACTTCCTGTCAAGTTTCATTTTCTTAGAGGGAATCTAAGATGTGGACCCTCCATAACCTGCAGTTCGTCTTGTTCAGTAAGTCGTTTACACAAAAATACTGACATTTGTTTGCATTTATGAGTTGTTCGACACAGATGGCAGAGAACCAAACCTTGTAACTGAAACTTTATTTTATTGGAGGCTACCATTGTTTCCTATGCAAATGCATGGAAGCCATTCGATCCTCTGCCCAACCCTACTCCTGCCAGAACACAAAACGCAGGATCATTAGTATTTTAAAAGTACTTGTTGCATTTTTATTCATGTTGCCTATTCTGGGATCATTTAGTGCTTGGAGTATGTTTCGGGAAGGCTGTGATGTCATGTGGTGTCATCTAATGTCGTGTTGCCTTTGATCTCTTTGAGTCCTTTAATGTCATGTGATGTCATGTTTTCTTTGATTTCTGAGTCCTTTAATGTCATGTGATGTCATGTTTTCTTTGATTTCTGAGTCCTTTGATGTCATGTGATATGTTTTCTTTGATTTCTGAGTCCTTTGATGTCATGTCTTTGATTTCTGAGTCCTTTAATGACATCACGTGACATCACATGGTCATCACATCACACCTCTCTGGTTGCAGTGCGCGCTCCCGACACAGAGGGAACAGATTTTCACAGGGGAACAGAATTTCGCACAAGCCCATCTCCATCCTAACAAGAGCACCCTCACTGGCCGACAACACACCAGAAGACAGTCACATGCCAGAGAATTTGTCCAGCAGACAGCTCACCCAACCGGTGACGAGACATCCTGAGATCCTGGAGCTGGTGGGAAATGTGGCGACAACAAGACCAGGTCTTCCAGCTGTCAACCATGACCAGAACTCTTACTAAACATGTCATCATCAGGGGTTGACTTGTTCCGTTTCAACATTGCAGGTTAGCAAACTGAGCTTAAATGAAATAAAATGTGTGTTTCAACCATTTGTACAATAAATCAAAGGCACTGTAGCTTAGAGGGTCAAAGCGTCAGTTTTGTAAACTGAAGATTCTGGGTTCAAATCCCAGTGGTGACTGATTAACAATAACATTTGTTTTCCTGCTGAACCCACAAACCTATCATGTTTGAAAACTCCAAAACCTTGCAAAACCATAGTTTAAACTGACAAAAGTCAGTGTTTGTCTTTATGTGCATTCCTGTTCATGGCCGGATTAACCATATGGGCAACTGCCCAGGAGCCCTTGATCTTTAAGGGGCCCAGTGCAGTGAGGGCACAAGCAAAATATCTAGTTATCTCCTGCTTTACTTGGAGCCCTGCGCTGCACAAACTGCTGCGCTTCCACTGCATTTGTGCAGCCCCGCCTCCTCCCAGCAGCTGCTGCAGATCTCGTTTTTTTTTTTTTTTTTCAATCAGATCCTCGACAGCGCGACCCACGAGTGTTTGTACATATCTTTCTCTTTTGCAGTGTTCTGTAGTTCTGTGTGTTTATCAATTAAAAATAAATAAATAAATAAAACACTTCCCGCTTCCTTTTCTTTTTTTATTATTATTTTTTTTCATTTTGAAAGCACAATAAATCAGCACAGAAAAAAAACATTCCTCCACGGCCTGTAGATGGCGGTACACCTGCTGTCTGTTATACAAATCAAAGAAGAAGACAATATGCGGAAGTTAGCGTCTTCCTTATGTAGGATAAATATTTAGCGATAAGTCACGGCGTTTTATACTTGCCTTCTAAGGATTTGAATAATTTAAAAACTTGGGCTTCATTTGTAAGCTTTAAGATTATTGCTTGAATGTCTCTGATAGCGAGAAAGACAGAAAAGGGTTCTGTTGAATAATTTATATTGCGTTACATTTTACGTTAATTTATTTGTAAACCATAGTTTCACTTGTGACATTTATTGTAATTATAAACAGATGTTTGTTTGCCCGAATAATCTTGAAATCGGAGAGTGGGAGTCTTGCAGCTGATGTTAACACAATGCTGGGTCATATCTCAGATGGACTGTGGTTTAGATCACATCGCCCTGGATTCTGCTTGGCAACATCTGTGCTGATAACAGTGATGCTGCTGATGTATGCTGGGGCCATTCAGGCAAGTCTCAGTTTAGGTCCAGGAGGAGATTTCCCTAGAGTCAGAGGTACAGTAAATCAGTTTTGCAATTTAAGAAAAAAAAAACCCTCATACTTTGGTCAATAAATGCCTGTAACTGTTTTGTATTCCTCAGATGTGTTTCTGTATGCTCTCAGCCATGATGACCTGCCCTCCCTGCTGGTCAGTGTTATACTCCTGCTGCTGATAGGAACATATCAGGAGCGCCGCTGGGGAACTGTCGCCTTGCTGGCCCTCTCCACCCTGACAATAATTGTGTTGCCTTTTGTTTACACTCTGGTCCTCTTTGTGGGAGGAGGTGAAGCGAGTCGGATCTGTGGTTACTCTGCTGTCCAACTCGCACTAGTTACAGCTCAGTGTCGACAGACAACACAAAGGAGGTTGATGAGGTGTTTACCAGTCTGGTCCCTCCCCTGGCTTCTCCTGCTGGTTGGCCTGCTGCTGCTACCGGGGACGCCTGCCCTACTTCACTTTTGTGCAATATGCATCGGACACAACTGTATCCTTCTTTGTTTATACAGTTTGTTGAAGCTTGTCGGAATGCAGTATTTTGTAGTTTCTAGAGCTGCAGTTAAGTTAAAAAATTTCAGCTGTGTTTAATTACACCTTTCTTGTGGTTTGTGTGGGAAATGTTATATTTTGCCATAGTTTTATTAAAGACATGTTTATTCCCATCACATCTTCTCCAGCCATTGGAGAGCTAAAAAGCGATATTCCTGAAACAGAATGTAATCAAAATATATTTTCCTAAAATCTTTTATAATTAATTAATGTATCTATAGGCTGCAGTCTTTTTAAAGTACACTTTTACTTGTAACTTCTATCCTTTTAGTTGTTGTTTGGCTGCTCCCTTCTGCAGGTTTCGCCACAACAAGCAAACTGGCATAAAATATTTGGCAACTGTTCGATGTCAGATGTCCTTTATGATGCAACCTGGGCTCAAACCTACAGCCTCAGAAATGCGAATCCACAACCCAACATCTGTCCCTTTAGTGTGGATACAATTTTGTGTAGTTCATTTTTAGGGTCTTGTTTTGAGACCATATATTTTTTTCCATTTACCCTTTTTTATACAGGTAGTCTCATTGAGCCACGAGAACTCATTTTCAAGAGAGACCTGTTTGGGGAGCAGATGGGGGGGTTAAGGTCCTTGCTTATGGGCCCAGAGTGGGGCGAATGAGGATGGGGGCAAGTGTGGGTGCTTCACCTACCCCACCCCAATTTTGATGTTGTCAGGGCGGGGCGTGAACCGGCGATCTTTGGATCACAGGCCCACCTCTCTAACCTCTGCGCCACCAATTCCCCAATATCTAGTTATTGAGTTTATAGAAAACTTACCACTGGGCACAAGCCTGTAAAAGTTACCAAGCAGTATTTTTTGTCATTTTGTAGTAATTTTACATATCTTTGTGGTAGACTTTGTCCCCTTGGTTGTTTTTATTCTACATCTTTGGTAAATTTGCATTTCTCTGATTATAACGTGCATCTTTTATTGTTTTTGTTTGTTTGTTTTGTCCCTTGTTGACTTGTTTGTCATCTCCTTGTACCTGTTCAACAAATCTTTGGGTCATTCTGTATGCCACTTGTTGTTTTGTCTTTGCTCATTTTTCATCCTTTCGTGTTTGTTTGTTTATTTATTTATTTTCTTAAATCACAGACCTTTTCCATGTTATTAGAGATGTTTTGTGGGTGCTTTTTTTTTCTGTGAGTTTTTTTTTTTCCTTTCTGAGATGCATGTTGCTTTTTGGTGAAGGACAAACATCTTGGTCCTGTCCTCTTTTCATAACCTCTTCATGTAATATTAACTGGTTTGAGCCTAAACTATCTTATCCCATCAAATCCATAATGAATTTATCTAGATAAGAGTAGTTCTGCCTTTTTTTTAATACTTAACATAATTTGCAGATCATCAGTCTTTCATTGGGACGTTACAAGAACTGGAGGCAGCAAAGATTTTTGACCTCATTCCTAACTGGTTGTATGTTCCTACTTCAGCTCGATTCAGACTGCCGACCTTTACAACCTCACAGAGGTGCTGTAAATAATTCCAATTTTAAATCTTCTTAAATCAGTACAACCATCTCAGCAAGCATGGCAGAAAGCACATTTTACCGTTTCTCAATTTTTCTTTGTATAGCTCACTTCCCCCGTTCTTGCCTGTCAATCAACAAACTACTCCCCCACTAAGGGATCCAGCAGCTTTCAGCCACCCCTCATGGATGGAACCTTCATCTGCTTGGGTGATGGAGGAGTCCGTTGCAGTGCCTGAGGCAGAGCTGCTGGAGGAGGAGATGCTAAGAGCAGGAATACTGGCCTCATTACAAGATGCGCCAGTGATCGAGCCTGATACAAAAGTTGAGGTGCCCAAATCTTCAGTTTCATCTCTACGGTTCGTATTATTATGAACATTTTGTAAACTGGTAAATGTTACTGTTCAGAAATTTTAACCGCCACCAATTTCTTTACACTCCAAGCAGTAAAACTTTCTTGTATTCTTCAAACTTTCTGTAGATCTTTAAGTCTTTGGCTTCTTTTTCACAAATTTTCTGTCCAGTCCTGGTACGTTTCAGTGTCAGCATAATTTTGCTGTATTTCCTAAAAAAATAAAAGTGTCTGCATTTGCTGAACAGTACATGTAATTGTCAAGTTGCTAAGTTATTTGTAATATGTAAACAAAACACTGGTTCATTTAGTTTAGGAGCCTTTTATGCTATAGTTCATGCTATAGTTCAGAGTGAAGTAGCTTAACAACCTAAAAATAATATATTGAAATTTTCTAAAAATGGTTAAGTACTGAACTGTAAATGAGTGAAAAAGCAGAAATAAAAATAAATAAGGGCTGACTCAAGACAATAGCACAGCACTGTGTATGTTTTAATACTAAGAATAGGTAAAAATAAGCCAAACGTTTATAAAATATTTTGTATCTAAGCAGCAATTCAGACTCCTGCTTGTGTTTTCTCTCAGGCTTCAGCAGCTGGAGAAGATGGGTTTCCCCACAGAAAAAGCTGTGGTGGCGTTAGCAGCATCGAAGCAGCTAGATGACGCCATCTCTCTGCTTATTGAAGACAGCATCGGCGAGCAAGCTGTGGTTGTGTCCAAGGGAAAGACACATCTGTCCCTGCAAAACACGTAGAAAGCTGAACCCAGTCTGCATCAACTCTTACACTCTAATATGCTTGGGTTTTTCTGAGCTTTAATATTTTCCCTGTTGACTGGAAAAACTTGTTCAATGTGGTTTTTTTCCCCCTGAAAAATAATTAAAAAACTGAGCAGTTTTTTAATGTGTAGATGTAAACAATTTGTTTGCATATCTTTGCATCAGAGAGAAAGACGAGATGCTGTTTATTTATGTTATAAAAATGTTTAATGAATACTTTTGTACCACAAATTTAAACTGGTGATATGTTAAAATATTTAAAAAAATTAAACAATTGTTTATCACACTGATCGTCTTGACAGTATTATCTTAACACAGTACAGTAACACATTTGCAAGAAAAAAAAGTACAAAATACAAAATAGTTACACAATAGCATACAACATGAACTACAATTTATTATTTAAATAAGTTTCACAATAAGTTTGATATGCTAAACATGTTTATAAATATATATATATATATAAATAAA